CTTCTGTTCTCCCAGTCCTGCAGCAGTCTTCCTCCGTCTCTATTCCTTTGCCACCCCTGGACAAGTTAATTTCATACTGAGTGACGTCTACCACGGAACTCCTTAATTCCATGGGCTTCAGTTTTTTGAGTTGTTGGTAACTTCATTATTTTTAATTGTCTCTAAAAGTTGAGGCAGAACGCAGATCACAGTCACGGGGGATAAATAGGAAAGAGAACATTAAATGTAAGGCCACGCTTTGCAGAGGCACACATAATCCAACTCAACACGCAAGGGACAGGCTTAGAAACCTCTAAGTACTCACAAGTGTGAATATTCATGAGTGCCTTGCAATGAACAACTGTTTAACCACCGGGTTTCATCAGGAATTGAAATCTTTTAAGCAAGTGTTTTGCTCTTTTAGCACCTTAGAACAGAACATCCGATACCTGTTTTATCAAAATTCAAATTCACACCAATTCTACAGGCTGTGTTGTGTGATTTCCTGCACTGTGAGAGCTGATGTCGTTAAGCAATGACGTACAACCTGCCCTCTCCTGCATCTCGGCTGAATGGTGAGGACAGACACTGCTGTGAGCATGAGAGCCCTGCTGGAGGGAAGCATAGCTCAAGGCCACTGTGTCACCATGCAGGCTGTGCAGGTGAGGTGTGCAGGGGCTCTGCATTCCAGGAGTCACCACCTGCCTCCCAGAGCTTGTCAACTCACGTCTTTCTCAGGACAGTTTTCTGATAGGTGGCACTAGAGTGTCCTGCTTTAATAAAATCAATGTATTACAATAATTTGTAGACAGAAATAAAGTTGTCATGAGAAAGGGCTGTCTTCTTCTAATTCGAAAAATGGCACCACATAAATGAGAGAAGGGCCCGTGTAGGGTGGGAAGAGTGCAGAGAATTCGGCTGCTTAACACAGTTCAGAGGCCAGGAAAGGGCTCCTGAGGAAGGGGGTTTACCTGAGACAGGAAGGATTGGCCATCTGAAATTGAATTACAGAATATCCAACTTATTTCCTTTCAGTGGATTTCTGGTGTCCCAGAAAATACATTCTCAAATCACAGTTGGACCAGAAAGAAATCTGCCCTTCAGCCTCGAGTTCATTTGCAAGTGAATAAATGTGCTATGAAGCCAGAGGGAGAAGATGGCGCTGCTGCACACAGCTGGATGGCCATGCATCGGCAGACCTGTTTCTTCAAATGTGTCTCCTTTGGGTTCTTTATTTGGAAATGCTGATCTTTTTCCAACATGTTTCTGAATAGACAAGGTGGAAGAATTGAAAGGTGATTAAACTGAACAAATGAGTTCAGAGGACCCTAGTTTTCTGCTCCCTACCAAGGAACCATTGCAAGGATATGAACAATAAAAAAGCATTTCCTGAATTGGTTCATCCATTTTAGAGACTGTAATCATTATCATTTGCGGGGGGAGCATGGGAATAAACTCCATTATAAAGAACAGTGTACTCTATGTAATAATAATAATGATAAATCACAATGACAACAGCTAGTGTTATCATGTCAAATACTTTTCTTAAGTGGCTGTGTTTCCTAAATTTTTCTGAACAGCCACAGACACAGGAATTATTTTCACTCCCATTTTACAGATTAGTGAGGTATATATTGGTTAAAACAACTTGCACGAAGTGACAGAGCTTGCCAGAGTAGGACTAAGACCTGGAACCCAGCACAGTATCCCCAAAGCTGGTGCTCTTGCAATCCACTGCCTGGCTTATTGAGGCAACAGCCTATACTCTAGATGAAAATGGAAACCATTGAGGTTTCTTAATGAAAACACAAAAACAAACCAACATCTAGAATTAACCATACTGCCAGTATAGCTAGCATTTTCATCAGAAAAAAGCTATTATTCATTAAGAAAAATCTTTAGCAAGAAAAGTAAAGTGATAACATGAAGATAGGAAGGCTTCAAAGACTCCTTTCAAACACGTGGAGCCAGGCCTGGGCACTCAGACCCACCTACATGCTAAGATTATTCCCTACTGTATAATCTCCAGCGCTCGGCCCTGGCAGGTTATCTAGGCTGAGTCTCTAGCATGATGTAACTACTTGTGATCATTGCTGAGAGGTTTTCTGCAAAAACTGTGGTCCCTTGAGATGCTCCACATAAAAGTATTTGGGGTTAATAGGTTTTGGAGACTTGGTTCATTGCATCTACCTCTGAAGGATTCACAGTGCCAGGGGCCTATTCCAGGGCCCTGAGACACCCTTATATTAATGAACTGTGTAATTTTCTAAATCCCAAACTGCAGAAACTTGTTTGACTATAGAATTCTTTGTTTCTTAGAAGACCTATGAAACTGCCTGTAAAACTAATGTTTGAGAAAAGCTACCTGAGGGTGAACATATAAGTGAGGAACAGAAGGGACACTGTGCAGGAAGGGAGGATTGAAAGGATGATGGCTCAAGTCAGGAAAATGTGAGGAAAAAGCAAACTGAAATCCCCACAATGCTTCTTATGTACCAGTCCTTATGTTATATATCATATATATCATGTATATCATGTATATGACATATATTTTAATATATATTTTATATATAGAACATATATATATATATTTGTTTTTCATCTGTTGATGTATACAGAAAAAGAAGCAGGAATGTGATTATGTAAGACAAAATAGCAGATCTGACATTTTAGCCATCTTACATGAATAAGACAGATGCATATATTTACCCACACACTATCTCCTTACTTCTAGGGGAAAAAAAAAAAAGGAACACAGTATGTTGGCATTGGTGTGAACCAGAACATCTATGGCAAGAGTGAAAATTGGAAGAAAGCACCTTACACTTCAACTTAAGGTCTAAACGTTTTAAAGTATCTGAATTTTAGCTCTCTCTCTTTTTAAATAAAGCAAAAAACAGAAGAACGATCAGAAAAGAATATATAATTCTCCATGCAAAATTGCAATATATTATCTTCTTTTTTAAATTCAAAGGGAAATTTGATTTCTTTCTTAAGTTCCCAAGAAATAATGGAGGCAGGGTTCTGCTTATCTATAGACACAGCCCTTTCTTTTAAAAAAGGCTTTCCCTTTTGTTTTGAATTCTAAAGTTTCTAGAATCTTTACAAAGGGTATCAAGGGGGTGTTCTAGAGTAATCCTCTATCACCAGGGGTCTCTTACCATCCATGGCACCTCACAATAACCTCGAATTCAGCTCTGGAGTGCAGTGGGAATACTATTTATGAACGTTTATCACTGTTTGCAAAGATTGTCAAGGAGGAATGATTTCTGTTTGAAGCTATTAATTCACATCTTTAAAACATTTAAAATGGTCAGAAAGAAGGGTAACTAAAAATTTCCTGAAGTTGAAACTTTTATCAGGGTTAAGAGCACACAAGGAAAAATAACCTGCAGCATTAAGAAAACCCATGTATCAAGGCAGTGGGCTCCAAGGGTGAAGGTTGGCGAAATGGCCCTGCAGGGGACTCTCAAGAACAAGACGTTTTCTGAGTGTAAGGTTGGAAAACTTAAGATGCTTATTATTAATGAGAACTTTGAGCAAGTTAGGGAAGAATGGGCAGATTCATAGTGTAACTGAAGGACTTCAAGGGGTATTACTGCTGACCCTCCAAATTCTCATTTAAACTCCACCCATGCAAAACAAAAACAAAACCAAAAAAACCAGTTAACCCAAACTAGAAGACACGATATAAATGGAGAATTTCAATTACAATGTAGTGCACTCAGCTCACTCCCAGGTGTCTTTCTGATATGCCCAGACACTTTTTCTTCAACTATTTCATGAAAACTGAACATAAAACAGAGTAAGAAACAAAACTAAAGATCAGCACTAAATGCACAATCTAAAGAATAATACAACATTTTCAGAACAACTGGAAAGATGCCAAGTTGACAATCTAACAGGATATTTTACTTAGATTTTGAGAAGAAAAATAATCTAGAATGCCCATGAATGTGTTATATGCAGTAAATAGAAGATAAGGCACAAGCAATTTGCTCATTTCTTTGAGAGTTGAAAATGGTAAGTAACTACATACATTTTTGTCTCTAGGGCAGTATTAGTATGGGGATTTTAACTAAATTTCTAGAAAGTGAAGTAAGTGTTCTTTGAAAATATTCTATCATATATACCATGGAAGTATTTAAAAATATTTTAGAAGATTAATAAGGGAAGCCATTTTCAAAATAAAGTAAAATTCTCTTTGGATATGCATTATTTCAGTTTAAGCTATGGTTTCTTTAGGGATATCATATTTTAAGAGATATACTAAAATTAGGATATATGAGATATGATATGCTTGCTCTAGTTGTTCACAATGACTATCAACTTGTTTCTATTTCTATGAAGGGTCTAAATTCACAGAAATTTAAAAACATGCTGTTTCCATGGCAACAGATAAAGAGTAAAACCAAAAAGATTTTATTGATTTTAACAGGAGTTACAGAATTTGTTCTCTTTTTTTGCAGTGATTTTTGCTCTTTTTTTTTAAAAAAGTCTTTAGCAACATCTCATTATACTCTTTTCTAAATGTATTTAATAAATCTTGAAGGTAGAGAATTGTGACATTTTATGGTAATATTGAATCAGCAATATTTAATTTTTAGTGTCAAAGAGATGTTAAACTATGGAGTCAAGATCGAACAACAAAAACTCTAAATGTAAGTTTAACGTCTGAATAAAGTAAAGCTGCATTATAAATGCTTTTAGATAATCCATTAATGATTTAAAAAATCCATTATTGATTAAAAGTATAGTATAACATTTTCAATTACTACTATTAACTTATAAGATGCAGACATTGAGGATTAGGCTTTTAAATGTAAATGGGACAGCTATAAAACACAAGTTTCTTCACGGTTAATGTATCAGCTTGAGAGGGTAACTGCAATTTGAAGCATAATTCCATGTTAACACACTAAGAAAACAGTGGGTAGATTTTCTTCTTCTGTGCTTTTTTTTCTCCAATTATTCCAAACTCTTAACATTTCTACTGGTCGCAATATGGAAAAATGGCCCACCTGCAACAGACATACAGCCTAATGGTGCGATCAGAGTAATGGGAGCGAGTCCGTAGGCGGCAAAGTTCCCTGTCTCCCCGACAGCCATCAGGAAGATTCCGACCCACCAAAGCACGCTCTTGAAGTATGGCCTTGGGTGTTCTTGTTGTGCCAGCTGAAGATGAGAATATTTCTGGAAATAAATCAGAATGCAAATAAGAAAACACTTCCATCCAAGTAAAACTTGCTTTGAAATTTTGGGTCTCCTAAATTTACATTATGGCATTTAAACTTATTTGCAGATTATAAAGCAATTAGGATTCCTTCTTTGTCCCAAACATATTAGCAGCAGGAGCAACTCATATTCATATAATATTTTATAGTTTCAAGGGACTTTTAACATATGTACATTGCTTTATTTTCCTAACAACTGTGTATAATATGTATCATTATTACTATTTTTAAAAAATGAGAGGTATGTTAAGATGTCAAGGGAACTTCTAGAACAGTACACCAAAAACATTTTTTTAGAATGTTAAGTAACTCCAGATGCCAAAATAAATGTTACTAAAATAAAGACAATTTAGTAAAGGGAAACTTTTTTAAGGAAAAATCAGATTTATGGGTCAAAGTACCTACCACAATTAACATAGCAGGGCAGAAAGCTTTAGCAGCTGGGAATTGTGAAGGGATATAATCTGACCCTTATTTATGTCTGATTTAATATTTCTTTGTATTTAAAAAATATATAAAAGGCTATGAATATACTCAGTAGTAGAATGCTTGCTCAGCATGCTCAAGGCCCTGGGTTGATCCCCTGTACTGCAAAAACAAAACTAAACCAAATATAAATTCATGAAAAATGGGCATTAAATAAAGACATTTCCCTAATGATTTTATGGATAACTAAGATGCTTTCTTATGAGAATTGTGTATAATTCTAGATTACTTAAAATGTTCAAAAACCAATATAATGAAAGTATTAGAAGAAAATACAAAACATTAACAAAAAAATCTTGGCATAATAGGAACACCTTTGTAAGTGTGATACAAAAATCTATAAGCCAGAAAAGCAAATATTTTACTGTATTAAAAAAAAAAAACTTCTCTCCAGTTAAACAGAGAAAAGGAAACAGGGGAAGGGCAGAGGGGAAGCCAAGGAAAGGTTCTTATGATTGAAATTGGTCAAATTGTATTATGTGAATGTATGAATATGCCACAATGAAACCCACTAGTCTATACAATTATGAACCAATTAAAAAAATAAAAAGGCAAAAAAAAAACTTCTGTATAGAAAAATACTATGAACAAATTTAAATCACAAACAATATAACACAGTGGGAGAAAACCTTTGCAACACATAAGTGATAAAGGTTTAATATCATTAATGCAAATAGAATTCCTACAAGTAAATGGAATTCTCCCACCCCCAGGGAATCCAAGCGATGATATACGAAGATATGAAATAGTAATTTATAGAAGTAAAATTACAAGTGAGAAAAGATCTTAACCTCATGAATAAAGAAAGAAATGCAAATAATTTGAAACAATAAAACACCATTTTCATCTATCAGATATCATTCCCTGCCCTCACCACATAACTAATGAGACATGGTATTGAGAATATAGGGAATGGTCACAGCCACACTGCTGTATGAGCGTAATATGGTACAATCCACACAGAAATCAATTTGCATGGTCCTAGCAATATTTAAAATGAAAACACACTTTGACCTACAGAATAGTCACGTAAGTATATAAGGAACATGTATCTTTATATTAATAGAAAACTCATTTTATCATTATTTATAACAGTAAAAGCCAATTCGTGTGTCCTGTAGTGTGTCCTTTAATAAGAGATGGTTATATACATTTTGGGATACCCACTCAAATATATGTATGTATGCTGTCTATGCATAGAAACTGATTTGGAAAAAACACATAATCAATAGTGGTTACATCTGTGCAATTTTTCTTTTATATGCTTTGAATTCTTCTCCTTCTCCTCCTTCTTCTTCTTCTTTTTTTTTAATAAGTGTCATAGTTCAGGTCTGGAATGTCCCTCAAAGGCCCAGATATGAAAGGCTTGACTGCCAGTTTATGGTGCTGTTAGGAGGTGGTTTGAAAGACAAGGCCTACCATAGGAAGTTAGGTTATCAGGGTGTGCCACTGAAGGGGATGGGACCTTGGCCCCTTCCTCTCCTCCTCTGTCTGCTTCCTCACTACCATATGGTGAACAGGCCTCCTCCCGGTACTCCCACCATTATGTACAAAGCAACAGATCCAAATGACAAGGATAAAATCTCTGAAACCATGAGCCAAAATAAACCTTTCTTTTATTAGTTGATTTTCTCAAAGTGATGGAAATCTGATTAACACAATAGGGAAAATGATTTATTTTTGTATTTTTTCTAGTAACAAATATCTTAGTAATTATTGACAGTTATAGTAGGCCATTTTCTAGCAAGGGTTTGTATAAAATTATATAATATTCTGGGAGATATTTCAATGTTCAGGTTTATTTGATTCGAAATTTTAGAAACTGCGTTAGTGTGATCTTGTTTCAAACTAATTAAGCCGAAATTTTTTATTTCATTCATGACTTGGTTCAAAATTGATATTTCATTCAGTTTTCAGTTCAAGAAATCAGCAATTCTTCTAGGATTTTAATTCATCTTTTAGAGGAAGTTCCTATTTTATACACTGTATTCTTTCTTAGAACTTTATTTCACACAGACATATTTAACAGTATTTTAAACAAAGAAAGAAAACCCTGTACCCCTAAAACTGATTCTAAAAAATATTCGTATCTCATCTGGGGATAAGGCCAATGAAAGAAATCAAGATACCAAAAATCAAATCAGGTAAATCCATTAGACATGAATGGATGGCATATATTATAATGGATGGCATACATACAGTCCACAATACTACTAGGGGCCCTCAAAAATATTTAAGTTCTTTCAAAATCAGAAAAGGAAAAAAAATGTTAGTGCAATCCAGCCTGAATTAAATTTGTCTTTATACCAATGAGTTTGAAAAATACAATTTTTTCCCTATTGTGTTTTAAGGAAGAAAGAGCCATAAAGGTTAAAGTGACTAAGTCTTATCAAAGTCACAAAATGTTCCCGGATCAAACTACAGAGTTAGAAAAATAAGTTGTTTTTTTTTTTCTTACCTGAATATTTAGGGAAATGCTGATTACCAAGTTTCCTAAAATGGCCAGCAAAACTCCAAAAAGGTGAACCTGTAAAAGAAAATATTTTCTTTAAATGATATTTTAAATAGTACTTGTAAAATATTTACTAAAAAAAGAGACAAATTTAAGTTGATGTATTCATTCATTTATCCACTCACTCATTCATTCATTTGAACCTTTCAGCTTCACTTAGCATCCATTTGCCAGGGTAGGTTTGGAATGTGGATATGGTTAATCAGGATTAGTTTTCACTTTAATCAAATACTATTTTTGAGAAATAATTTGGTCCTTCTCTGAATTTACAGGTATTTATTTGCCTCACTCACTAAAATAAAGAAAAGATTTCTCAGTTCCAACTTTCTCCCACTGATACTTCTTTCTGATGCTTTCTGTCCATTTTTCTCTTCTCTTTAATATATTCTAAAGGATTGTGGGATGAAAGAAAGATCATAGAACTTGTAATTAAAGGAAAATCTAAGATACAGATCTGCTATTTTTTTTATATGGGTGACCTTGAACAAGTTATTTCACTCAGTGAAAAGGGGATATTGGATGTTTTCAGAAAACCCTTTATCTTTAAAGTTCTAGGAACTCCACTAGAGAGACACTGCATTTTCCCACACTCCCCAGGTCAATGTCTCTTTGTAGTTGACTGCATAAAATACAAAACTACTATTCAGCTCCCATAATCAGCCCTCTTCCTGACCATCCAACTGTTTATGGCATAGTTGACTTGCCTCTCCTGCCCCAGGTATCTGTCACAGGCCACTCTCCGGTCACATGGGACACACTTCATGCCACTCCATTCACCTGGGTGGTGTAGCTCCCTTCCTCTGCCCACTCCATTTGGACTTTACCCTCCTGGCCTGCCTCCTTGAGACCTTCTTAGACCACCTAACTCATCTCTACTTTCTTAGACTCTACATGGCAAATACCCTTGCTTCTTTGATATTGTCATGAGTGTCATTAGGATCTATAAAGAGAAGACAAATTCTCTGAAGGAGAAGAACCAATTCTTATACTTCTGTTGAGTCTTTTACATCACCGACTACACAAATGAGAAGTTCAATAAATACAGACTTCAAGCTAGTATTATATAATGAGATTACAAAATTAAGTTCTTATACATTGCCCAAGATGTTTACCATAGATAGCTCATGAATTATTTGATGACTTCAAAAGATGGATTTGCTGCTCCCGTCTCAGTACACAGGTAGAATATCTTCTGTAAGCATAAATTAGCAATGATACAAGGGATCTTTCCTTCTTTTATTCTACAGCATATAACTTCTACAGGCTTCAAACCCCAAGGAGCTATTTGAATTTCAAATGAACATTACAACCACAAGAAATCCTTTGCAGAATGCAAAATGTCTTTGAAGTCTCAGAGCTCTATTATACAAGCTGAAATGAAACTCAGCATTTAAAAACACTGAAGCAAAAAAAGTTGAAAACTCATTTTATAGTTGATATATAATATCCACGGTCTTTAATCAGTTAAGAATTTTCTTTTCCTAATAAAGGCACTTGGCAATAATTTTGATCACTACTCTTCATGGAGAACAATTGTATCACAATACAATGTACTATTTCCATGCTTTCTATTTACAATCTAATGCATTTGGCAGCAATCAGGAAAATAAAAATTCAAAAGAAATTTGACATTGAATGGATAATTATGAAAATCTTCCATAATTGTAAAAGTAAATTCCTGAATAGAAGTACTTCAAAATTCTTTAAATCATTCTCTGAACAGTTCCAGTGACAACAGGCTGGGTGTTTAAAAATTAGTGGCAAGATTTGGCAATGATTTCCTGATATGATATGGAAGAAAAAAATAGGTAAGTTGGACATCATCAAGATCAAAAACTTGTGCCTCAAAGGAGACTATCAACAGAGTGAAAAGGCAACCAATGGAATTGGAGAAAGTACCTGCAGATCATAGAAAGCAGTAAGGACTAATATCCAGAATATAGTACATACACAACACATACAACTCAACAACAACAACAAAAATCAACAACGGGCAAAGGACACGAATTGATATTTCAACAAGGAGGACATAAATGGCCAAAAAAGCACATGAAATGATGTTCAACATCAGTAATCATTACAGAGTTGCAAATCAAAGCCTATAATGACATACCCCAAGTAATCAACAATAATCAAAGACCAGATAATAACAAGTCTCAGCAAGGAGTAGATAAATCGGGACCCTCATACACTACTAGTGGGAATGTAAAGCAGTGCAACTTGGGAACCCAGTCTGGCAGTTCCTCAAAAAGTAATCATGGAATTTTCATTTGATCCAGCAATTCCACGCCTGGCTATATATCCAAGAGAAATGAAAACATATGTAAATGCAAAAACTGGTACAGAAATGTCCATAGTAGTAGTGTTACTCAAAATAGCCAAAAGTGGGAATGATCTAAATGTTAAGTGATAAGTGAATAAACAAAATGTGGTACAGTCATACTATGAAATCTTACTTAGGTGGGAATAGGAAAGACAGTAGAATGAGTCGGACATAACTTTCATATTCGTATATGAACACACAACCACTGAAACTCCACAAGAATGGGATCCCAAATAGTTATACTCCATGTATGTATAATATGTCAAAATACAGTCTAATGTCATATATGTCTAAAAAGAACAAACTAAAAAATTACACCCAAAATAAATCTTATTTAGTCATAAAAATGAATGAAGTACTGATACATGCTATAAAATGGATGAAACTTGAAAAGTCTGTGCTATGTCAAAGAATCCAGTTACAAAAGTTCACATATTAGAGGATACTATTTATACAAAATTTCCACAAGAGGCAAATTTATAAAGACGGAAAGTACATTAATGGCTTGTTTAAGGTGAGTAAAGATGAGAGACGACATAAAGGTGGGGTTTCCTTGTAAGGAGATAAACTGTTCTAAAGTTCATTGTGTTTACAGTTGTATAATTCTATGAATATGCTAAAACCCAACAAATTGTCCACTTTAAATGAGTGAATTGTATGATGTGTGAATCATATTTAAATAAAGTTGCAATGTAAAATAAAGTTATGCATATAAGTTATATATAAAAATATATTTTTTTCAAGGAAATAAAAATGCTACAAATGTAGTTGTGTTTATTCCAGTCGCTTCGCTTGCCATGAGAAAAATAACATTTTTCTGTAGTTGATACGCATGTATTTCTTTCATTCTCAGATTTTTACTACATTTATTTTGTTTACTCATTTTTTTTCACTTCTTTATTTGAACTCTTAACTCATTAGCTTCTCTTTTTCTTCTTATTTAATAATATGTGCAAGTTTAGCTATACTTTCTCTTTGAATACATCTTCTGTTTTAGCTGCATGCCTAGTTTTGGCATGTACAATGATTATCATTCAGTTCTAAATATTTTATGGCTTTTATCTGGGATTTATTTATTCAGAGGGTGTTTTTTAAAATTCTAAATGAATGAGGTGTTGGTTATCACATTTTTACTAGTGTCTAATTTTATAGCATTGTGGTTAGAAAACATGCTGCATTTAAATCAGCATTTACTTTATGATTTAGTACATAGTATAAAGTAAAATTCAATTTGTAATGTAGTAATGTGTGGTCACGTTTTGTAAGTGCCTGAGGTATGCTTAAAAAGCAAAGCATTTAATTGTTAAAATTACAGATGTTCTACCTGCGTTTTCTATATCTATTCTACTTCCATCAATCAAATCTTCAATATTCTTACTAAACTTTGGACTGCTTTTGTCTCTCAATTGCCAAGGGACTATCAATATATTTTCATTTGTGTCTACTATTGTGTGTGTGTGTGTGTGTGTGTGTGTGTGTGTTTGTTTATTATCTTGTTTATTCTTTTTTTTTTTTTTGGTACCAAGGATTGAACCAGGGTATCTTGCTTATCCTTTGCAAGAGAGTTCTCCTTTCTTCTTTCCTACATTCTCTCAGAATTAGTTGGGTTCTCTTTATTCTCTTTTTTCCCTACTCTTCTGTTAATAAAATTATAAATCTCATGTCTACTTTTTAAATAATTACTATTAACTTTAAAACTTTTTATTATGGATTCAAAGTAGGTTGCAATGAATTGTTCAAGTAGGTCAAATACATCCTTCTAGCCACACTCACCATGTGAACATATTATGCAACTAGAGTAAATATCAAAACCAACAAATTCATCTTTCCTCGGTCATACACACACTAAAGTCTGTGTATGTGTGAGCGTGTAACCATCACCATCAAGATACTCATCTGTACCATCACCCTAAGACTTCCTGATGTAACCCCTTTAGAGATACACTATCCTCTCTTCCACCCCATTCCTAATCCACAGCAACCACTAATCTGTTCCCCATCTGTATAAAATTTCACACATTATATAAGTAGAATCATGAAGTATGTATACTTTTGAAGTTAACTTTTTTTCCCACTCAGCAAAATTTCCTTCAGGTTCATCCGAGGTTGCTGTATCAATAGTTCATTCAATTCTAATTGCTGAGGAGTATTCCATGGTATGGATACATCACAGTTTGTTTAACCATTCAGTCATTGAGTGGCATTTGAGTAGTTTCCAGTTTGGGGCTGTTACGAATAAAGCTGCTATAAGCATTCATGTACAAATTCTTCCTGAAAATAAGTTTTCATTTCTCTGGGATAAATGCCCAAGAATGTAATTGCTGGGTTGTGTGGTAAGTCCATTTTTAGTTCTGAAAGGAACTGCAAGACTGTTTTATAATTTTACATTCCCATCAGTGATGTATGAGAGATCCAGTTTCTCCACAAATTTATCATGCATTCTTGACATAAATTCTATAATCAATATTCCCATCCTCCTGAGCACTATAAAAACTTCCATTTGCATTGACTACTATCTGTTCTCTCTTCCCTTAGATGTTGTTGACTGCTGTATTAGCATACTGACTAGTTCTACCTTGTCTCAATATTCTCAAAATAGTCATTGTTATTATTTTTTAAATAAAATTTTATGTTTAGAGCAGTTTTAGGTACATAGTAAAATTAAGCAGAAGGCATGGAGATTTCCCATAGA